CAAAAGCCACTGAAGAGCCTCAAAAGGCACCATGGCAACGTGGTAAGAAACAAAAGCCTCAAGAAGAGGTTCCTGAAGAAAAGACATGGCCTTCAGGCAAGCGTCGTCCTATTGAAACTGAACCTGTAGAAGATGTTAAGCTTAAACCTATTCCCAAAAAACCTGTTCAAGAAGAAACAAAACCAGAAGAAGTTTCTCTGAAACCTATTCCAAAGAAACCAATCTCTGAAATTCCATCAGAACAAGAGCCACAAGAAGAAACATTGGATCTTCCACAGAAGCCTTCTGAAGCCACTGAAGAGCCTCAGAAGGCACCATGGCGACGGGGTAAGAAAGAAAAGCCTCAAGAAGAGGTTCCTGAAGAAAAGACATGGCCTTCAGGCAAGCGTCGTCCTATTGAAACTGAACCTGTAGAAGATGTTAAGCTTAAACCCATACCTAGAAAACCTGTTCAAGAAGTAGCGAAGCCAGAAGAAGTTTCTCTGAAACCTATTCCAAAGAAACCATTCTCTGAAACTCCATCAGAACAAGAATCACAAGAAGAAACATCAGATCTTCCACAGAAGCCTTCTGAAGCCATTGAAGAGCCTCAGAAGGCACCATGGCGACGAGGTAAGAAAGAAAAGCCTCAAGAAGAGGTTCCTGAAGAAAAGACATGGCCTTCAGGCAAGCGTCGTCCTATTGAAGCTGAACCTGTAGAAGATGTTAAGCTTAAACCTATACCTAGAAAACCTGTTCAAGAAGAAACAAAACCAGAAGAAGTTTCTCTGAAACCTATTCCAAAGAAACCAATCTCTGAAACTCCATCAGAACAAGAATCACAAGAAGAAACGTCAGATCTTCCACAGAAGCCTTCTGAAGCCACTGAAGAGCCTCAAAAGGCACCATGGCAACGTGGTAAGAAACAAAAGCCTCAAGAAGAGGTTCCTGAAGAAAAGACATGGCCTTCAGGCAAGCGTCGTCCTATTGAAACTGAACCTGTAGAAGATGTTAAGTTTAAACCTATTCCCAAAAAACCTGTTCAAGAAGAAACGAAACCAGAAGAAGTTTCTCTGAAACCTATTCCAAAGAAACCATTCTCAGAAATTCCATCGGAACAGGAGCCACAAGAAGAAATATCAGATCTTCCACAGAAGCCTTCTGAAGCAATTGAAGAGCATCAGAAGGCACCATGGCAACGTGGTAAGAAACAAAAGCCTCAAGAAGAGGTTCCTGAAGAAAAGACTTGGCCTTCAGGCAAGCGTCGTCCTATTGAAACTGAACCTGTAGAAGATGTTAAGCTTAAACCTATACCCAAAAAACCTGTTCAAGAAGAAACAAAACCAGAAGAAGTTTCTCTGAAACCTATTCCAAGGAAACCATTCTCTGAAACTACATCAGAACAAGAGCCACAAGAAGAAGCATTGGATCTTCCACAGAAGCCTTCTGAAGCCACTGAAGAGCCTCGAAAGGCACCATGGCAACGTGGTAAGAAAGAAAAGCCTCAGGAAGAGGTTCCTGAAGAAAAGACATGGCCTTCAGGCAAGCGTCGTCCTATTGAAACTGAACCTGTAGAAGATGTTAAGCTTAAACCTATTCCCAAAAAACCTGTTCAAGAAGAAACGAAACCAGAAGAAGTTTCTCTGAAACCTATTCCAAAGAAACCATTCTCTGAAACTCCATCAGAACAGGAGCCACAAGAAGAAACATCAGATCTTCCACAGAAGCCTTCTGAAGCCATTGAAGAGCCTCAGAAGGCACCATGGCGACGAGGTAAGAAAGAAAAGCCTCAAGAAGAGGTTCCTGAAGAAAAGACATGGCCTTCAAGCAAACGTCGTCCTATTGAAACTGAACCTGTAGAAGATGTTAAGCTTAAACCTATTCCCAAAAAACCTGTTCAAGAAGAAACGAAACCAGAAGAAGTTTCTCTGAAACCTATTCCAAAGAAACCATTCTCTGAAACTCCATCAGAACAAGAAGAAGCATTGGATCTTCCACAGAAGCCTTCTGAAGCTACTGAAGAGCCTCAGAAGGCACCATGGCGACGAGGTAAGAAAGAAAAGCCTCAAGAAGAGGTTCCTGAAGAACAGACATGGCCTTCAGGCAAGCGTCGACCTATTGAAACTGAATCTGTAGAAGATGTTAAGCTAACACCAGTACCTAGAAATGAATTAACAGAAACAATTGCCCCTGTGGTAGAAGAAGAAGAATTGACGGAAGGTATGTCTGCTGATAAATATTATTTCATTCCCTTTGTTTATGTGTTTTTTATCCTTTTTGATCCGAATACTCAATGATCCTTTTGTATTATTTTGCTAGAATCTGAAATATTTTTGATGAAGGTTTTTTTTGATTATGTCATACGTGATTAAATTAATAATTTTCAGGTGTACCAAAAGACGAAGAAGAAGTTGTAATTCTTGAGCCCGAAATACTTGATGAAGAACTTAGTGAACCAGAAATAGAAAAAGATGAAATAGTGGAGCAGGTGACAGAGAAGAGAAGACGAAGAAGAAAGCATAAGGAAAAATCTCAAAAAGCACAGCAAGTTGATGGTGATAATGAAGAGATAAAGGAACAATCTATTGAAGTTCCTGAAAAGGTCAAACCAAAGAAAGAGAAGCGTGTTGCTTTCAGAGAAGAATTAAGCACAATTGAAATACTATCTGACTCAAATGATGAGCCACTTGAAAATTACAAAGACAACCTTGAATTGGAAACAGCGTCATTGAAACCTTCTTTGAAGAAACCTAAAAAGCTTGAATCGAAAGAGTTGGAAGAAGTTGTTGATGATAGAGAGTTCAAAAAGGATACTCAAGTAACTGCAACATCTCAAGCTGTTAGAAAACTCCACAAAAAAATTCTATTTGATGATAGTCAACCAATTCCTGAGCTTGAAATTATTTCACAGAAGCGACTTCTTGAAGGCCTTAACAAAATAGCAGATGAAAATATTATTGAGGAGAAACTTCTTAAAGAATCTAAAACTCAAATATCCAGTAAATCACTTTTGGAAAAATCTCAAGTGAAAACATCTGTTGCAAATATAAAACCTCCAAAGTTCATTCAAAAACTTCAGCCAGTTATATCGGAACCAGAGAAATCTGTTGTATTACAAGGCGAGGTTGATGGTCAACCATTCCCTGATATAAAATGGTTCTTTAATGAAAACGAGCTTTCAAATTCTGAGCATTACGAAATGATTGCTGAGAAGAAAAATGTTCTCTTGAAAATTAACCAAGTGAAAGAATCTGATATCGGAATTTACACGTAAGTTTGTCTGAAAATAAATTTAAAGATTAATTGGAATTATCATTTTTTTTATCATCAGTTGTCAAGCTATTAATCCTGGAGGTGTCGCTACGTCAAGGACTAACGTTATTGTTCAAGAACCTGAAGAAATTGGTGTTGCACCAACGTTCATTACACCATTGAAAATAACAGTTCCTGAAGATAAGGACAAGGCTGTTGTAACTTGCCAAGTCCATGGAATACCTAAACCAACAGTCAAATGGTACAAAGAAGATCTCGAAGTTGTACCAAGTACTGATATTCAAACAATTTACGATGAAGAAACTGGCTATGTTACACTGGAAGTTTTCAATCCTGAAACTAACGTTCCCGTTAACTACATAATTAAAGCTGAGAATAATTTTGGAAAAGCTATTGGAAAGGCAAATGTATTTATCCAATCAATCATCATAGAGAAAAAAGCTGAAATACGAGCTCCAAAGATTTTAACACCTTTACAAGCTCAAGTTCTTAAATCTTTATCAACTCTTAAATTTGAATGTAAATATGACGGGCTACCGACACCGACAATAAAATGGATTAAAAATGGAAAAGACTTGATTATAGATGAAAATACAACAATTGAAACAATTGATTACACTAGTAAATTAGAAGTTCGTAACATCAATAAGAAGAATGGAGGAAAATATGAAATCATTGTTACGAACAAAGCTGGTGAAGCAAAATCTTCAGGATCTGTTGTTGTGTCCGATGCCCAGGAAACTGAAAAGGTTAAAGCTCCAAGATTCGTGGAACCTCTGACACCAAAGACTGTTACAGAAGCAGAAGTTGTTATTTTAGAAGCAACAGTAGAAGCATTCCCAACTGCTTCATTCCAGTGGTTTTATAATAATACTCCAATTGTGTCATCCCATGAAACACGAATAGCAACAACTGAAAATAAATCAATTCTCATTATCGAAACTTTCAAACCAACCCATGTAGGTTCATATACATGTCGTGCAGAGAATGTCGCCGGATCAGTAACGTCTACTGCAACAGTCAATCTACTTCAACCATTTGAGACTGAAGAGGTTGAAGAGTTTATTTCTCCAAGATTCATTGAGAAGATTGAATCAGCACGTGTGATGGATGGAGAGAAATTAGTTCTAACCGCCAAAATTCAAGGCATGCCAATACCAAAGGTTGAATGGCAACATAATGGAGATACTGTTAATGAGTCCAAAGACATTTTCACTCAACAAGATAATTCCGGTCTTTGTATTTTAACTATTAATGAGGTCTTCCCAGAAGACGCTGGGGAATATGCTTGCATCGCTACTAATAAAATTGGAGAAGCAATTTCGAGATGCATTGTTTCAGTCGACGGTATAATTTTTATTTCAAAAAAAGTTTTTCTTTAATCACTGTAAATAAATTTCAGCTTATGAATACGTTCAAGACTCTGAAATAACGGGACCTACAGTACAAAGTGGATCGGAAGAAGATTTGCTTGAAAAGGTTTGAGACTATGAAATTAAGTAACAAAATGAATAATTTTAAAATGAAATCGTTTTAGACTCTTTCTCAATTATCACCAGACGAATCATTGTCTCATCCATTTGCACCTAAAATAGTAAAGAAACTTCCACAAAAAGTTGTTTCCCAAGATAAGCAAATGATGAAGTTTGAAGTCAAAGTAGTTGGACATCCCAAACCAGATGTTAAATGGTATAAAGAAAGTGAAGAAATCGTACCTTCAGAAGAATTCCAAGTTGAAAACTTGGACGATGGTACTTCAATTTTAATCATCAATGATGTTTATCCTGATGATACTGGAGAAATTAAGTGTGAAGCTTACAATTCTGTAGGCACTGCTGAAACTACAACACAGTTTGTGGTTGAAGGTATTTTGAAAGCAATAATGACTACAATACTAATTTTTAATTTTCAGGAAATGCTTTGAAAATTAATTTAAAAGATTTGCAGCAAAACAAAAATACCTTTTTTCTCCATCCATTATTCACTTTTTATTTTAGAAGACAAATTTGTTTTCAGATTATGTTATTGAAACATATTTTTTCAATATGTTTCTAAACACGAACACTTATTTATTTAAATTACAATAAAAGCATAATTTACCATCCTAATAAACAATGTTTAAATAAATTTCAGAAATTATTGGCACGAAGGAGTATAGAAAACCTGAATGGGTATCAGAAATGGAAGAAATGCAGGAAGCTCTCAATGGTAAGAGAAATGAAACAATTTTTTATATTTACATTACACTGAAATTTATTTTGAACAAACAAAAATATTATTTTCTTATTTATAAGATATGTTTATTGCTTAATATTTCAAAGCTTTGAAAACTAGAATATGCTTTTTGCTACTAATGCTTAATTAACTTACAGCTGCTTATACATTGCCTTCATTTGATACTGAGCCCAAGAATGTAAGAACAATTGTTGGAGCTAAAGCTAAATTCAAGCTTATATTCTCGGGTAATCCAACGCCAGGTAAAGCAATTAAAAAAAGCCATAACAACGATTATTATAATTCAACTTATCTATACTTAGCAATTATTTGGTATCATAACAATAAAGCCTTGACGCATGGAGAAAGATTTAAAATATTAACAAAAGAAAACAAATCAACACTCATTATAAAATCCGTTGAGACTGATGACTTTGGATATTATGTTTGCAAAGCTTTAAATAACTCTGGCGAAATATTAACAAGAGCTAAACTAACCGAATCTTCAAAAGCTTATATGACTCAAGAGGAAGTTGAGGAGAATAGGCAGAAAATTGAGAAAAAGTATGCTTCTAAAAAAGCTAAAATAACACGAAAAGCATTACTAACTGAAGGAAAATCTTCTAGTTCTGTTAATGTTGAGGCAACTGTAGATTCTATGCCATCAAGAACAAGCAGAACTTTTACTACAAAAAGTGAAAATGTTCATGCTGAAGCTTCATTTAAAACAAAACATGTAAATATTCCTAAAGAGATAAGAAAAGAAGATGTTTCTTCAGAATTAACAATAACAAAACATGAAAATGTTATGGTTCAGCAAATTGAGACCACATTTATTAAAGAAACAGAACACAAACTATGCGAGCAAATGATAACAATTACTAATCATAGTGACATAGACAGTTTAAAGAATTCGAATGAAGTCAATCAAATAATTGAAAGATTTAAAAATAAGGAATTTTCTTCGAAAATGTCTTCAATAAAAGATCTGGCAACAATTTCAGTAATTTCACAAAAAGGCATAAGCACTGAAGAAATCGAGAATCTTTTTAGGCTTAATTTTTTCCCTGATCTTAAAACACCTGAATCCCAGAGTGCAATTGTACAACTGCTTGAAAGGCATGGACAAGCTTCTCTTGTTTCTGAAGAGCTTTCAGGAAATACTGAGAACGAAGAAGATTTTGTCGCCACAGCAGGCTTCAGAGCTTTCTTAAAACTGATTAAATCTGAATCTGTCAATGTAGAAGAAATTGTCCTTTCTCTGTGTCCCGAAGATTTTAATTCGTGTAACTGGAAAGAAGATATTTCAAAATAAATAACTTAAATAAACTTTATTTGATAACTTTATTATAGTGAAAAAACTCAAAAATAATAAACTTTTACTTATTATCATTATGACTACATAAATTATATTCTTTTAA